TTGAGACAGGATCTCCCTGTAGCCCCAGCTGGCCTGGAACTCACTACGTAGACCAGGCTGGCCTTGAAATCACAGAGATCCACCAGCCTCTGGCCCCCAAGTGCTGGGATTAAAGGCGTGTGCCACCATACCTGGCTGAAAATTAATTTTTAATTACATTTATATGTTTAAATATAGGTGTCTACCATGAATCACGTTTACTGAAGTGTATAATTGTTCAAGGTCATATCTATTTTCAACAACAGTTCACTCTAAAGTATAAATAATATCTAAGTTGTGACCAAGTATAATCAGAGAAAATAAAAGTAGACCAGACATTAAAATTCCTTAAGATATTGTTATTATAGTGAGATCATCTATTGTGTTGGGATTTGTACACCCATAGGAGTTAAATTTCTATTCCTTTCCTCTGACAACCTCATTGCCTGCTTGCACGGGTGTCCAGTGAAAGAAAAAGATGAAATTTCCCTGGCTAATCTGTTGCCCTGAGAAACATAGTTTTCTAATTAATTAACATTTTAAAAACACATTTTTATTGAGCAACAATGATAAATCTTAGGTTATAATATATAAGGAAATATGATTTTCAAATTCCTGATGTATTTCTGTTTGAGATTCAAGTACAATAAATCAGCCTTTCCAAGAGTTATCTGAAAATTTTAAAAAATTAAACATACTCTAACATTCTGCACACTTTAAATATCCAAATTTTTTGTTAGAAAAACAAAATGTACTATGTTTAGTAATACTTGCAAAGTACTGTAGCTTATAGTAATATTCAAACAATGGAAAGCAAAATATTAAAATCAGACATGTCAGAAACCATCTTAATGATGGCAGGGATTGAACCCACTTCCTCGTGAATTCACTTACTCTACCAGTAAGTCAAAGCCACAGATTCCCATGAAATTTGTCAATGATCTCTACGTGCTGATATCTCCCACATTTCTTCTTTTCTCTTCTCGACTTGCATCATTTTCCCTTCAGTTGGTACTCTCATCCTCTGATCAGTTTATTGACTTAGAAGCATGAGAATAGTTTTCTCTCCTCTCTGCAGACGTGAATTGGATCAATAAATTTATAAATTCTGAGACCAACATTTATTTATTCCTTTTTTCCATAGTCATTGTCAGTGATCATTCTTTAACCTGACTTCTTTCACTTTTATTTTATAATGTATAGTATCAGTAAGATGGTTGTGTGATATAAAAACTTGACTTAGATATGGTGCCCAGATTTTTAACTCCATGTCAGACCAAAAGTGCTTTAATAGTATTTTTAAATGTGCTAGCATTTAATGCTAACTGTAACAAGCAGATAATCTTCATATCTTGTGTATTCTTGTCCAATAAGTTAAAGGTATTAACACTTGAGGGCCTCCTAAGAGAAAGTGTTTTAATACCAACCTAGTTTCTGGCCTTGAAACTATCTTTTACACACACACACACACACACACACACACACACACACACACCATTCTTTAACACCTTTCTCTCTCTGTGTGGTAATTACATATGATAATTCCTTAAGATCGCTCAAGACAAATGTGTTAATGTATATGTGTGTACATATGTCCTTATTCATGTGTATATCCTACCTTTGTGGACAATCCTACGACACGTCCTAATATAAGCCTTCCTCATCTATCCCATACTTTCTAAAAATTACTCCCCATGCATCATCCATGCACATAAATTTGAAAGAAATTATTTTAATTTTAAAGCTTCCAAAGATCTACATCTCTTAATATATCCTAGAAATTGATGAGAATGACTGTAATAGTTAATACTATATTCAAAGGATCTAGAATGACCTATAACACAAATGCATGCACATGGCTTTGAAGGATTTTCTTAACATTAATTGAGGTGAAAAAATACAATCTAATTGTGGAATGACAGTGGCACCATTTCTTGGGCTGAATAAACATGTTAAAGTTGGGGGGGCGGGGCTGGAGAGATGGCTCAAAGTTTAAGAGCAATGGGTACTCTTGCAGAAGTCTGGGATTCAGTTCTCAGCTCCAAGAGGGCAGCCCACAACCAAGTATAACTCCAGTTCCAGAGGATCAGATGCCCTCTCTTGACCTCAGCTGGCACCAGGCTCACACGTGGAGTCCATATACATATTATATATTGAGGCACTGACACCCACACACAAAATAAGAAATAAGACATTAGAAGACTGAGAAAGTGAGCTGAGCACCAGAATTCGTCTCCTGCTTTCTGACTATGTGTGCAGTGTGGCCAGGTGCTTGCACTCCCACCATCATGCTCCCTGTCATGATGGACTGAACCTTCAGGGTTTTATCCCAAATACATCTTCCCTTCCTTAGGTACATTGGTCAAATAGTCACAAAAATGAGAATAGTAATTCTTTGCCATCCTTTAATGCACACAGTCTGAGGAAGCTTAGAACGACAAGCTGGTTGAGAGCTTTGCACCACTACGGGACTTTGTTTCTAACACATATTCAGTAAACTCTTTTGCTAACAATTGTGAAAAATCAAACCTCTGAAAACAGCATCCTGTTTTGTATTAAACTTCTCAAAACAAAATGTATAAAGGGCAGAATAACTCTTTTGGTGCTTATTATTAAAAATAAATTCTATATGTAACATAAAACACAAGAATAGCAAGTCTTGGAAAGGTAAAGGAGGATCACTGCTTAGTCAGCTCTGGATGTGAGGAGCAGAACACAACAGTGAGTCTTGGGTGTGTTAGGATTTCACAGAATAAGAGGATAATGCAGAGCATCTAACCCAGGGCCTTTAACAGACATAGGCAACAAAGCACTAAGAAAATCTTGTGCTCCCTGAGGAGAAAATGAGGAAAAGGATTGTCTTAGAAGAATAGAACCTACTTGGGGCATACTTTCCATAGTTCACACAAATATTAATGAAAGTCTAGTAGCCTTGCAGTCACACAGGTTTCATTGGCACAAGGGAGGGACTGATTTCACCCCAATTCCCATCTTTATGGAAGAGTAGTTCTACTTTCATTGAGCTTCCATTGTTAACCGGCAGTCGTAGACCTGGTGAGATGGTGCATTGTGGCACCAGTCAGTAACGTGCTCCTGCACCATCCATGAGTTAAGGCCCTGTGGGGAGGTGAGGCTCCATCCTTACCTGCAACAAATCAGTGTGAAATAGTTCTTCATTTCTCCCTTCTCTGTGGGCATTTTATCCCAAGAGTGATCATAAGTTCCTCGGACACAGAGATTCACACAAGACAGGCATCTTCTCCAGGAAGAAGTGCAGAGAGCCGAGGATGCTGAATGTCCACATCATCCTCTGGAAGGAGG